ATATATATGTATATATACATATACATATATATATATATATATATAGTATGCGTAGTATTTTCTAGTGAACTCACAAGCATTTGAATCTTCATAAGTCAATGCATGGAGGAATTGAAACTCAGTTGGGATTTTATCATGATCATTGATATTGGAGTCAAAATTTTAAAAATGGATAAAAGAGGGTGCTTGATTTGTAAATAGCAATGTTTTGGGTGCCCTGTATGTAATCACCCCTTTTTTTTTCTTTTTTCATTACATGATGTCATTATTTTCTTAAACATTACTTAAACTTGACTGGAAATTTTTTAGTTTCTCCTGCTTAAAAAATTCCACTTTGTGGCATGTTTGGTACAATTATTGAAGTATCCATTGTAATACAAGAATCAGATGGAGACTGGGTTCGCCAACTTTCATAATTTGTGTATTTACTATTGAGTGCAAAGCATCTTCTCTCCGTTTCATTTTTAACTTAAGTGAATGCTATCAAAATTGTTTTTTCTCAATGCTTCTGCATACATTTACAGATGGATTTGACCTTTTTGAAAGCCGTCTATAAGTGTTGCTACTGATATTCACGGCCTTGATATCAAATGATATGCTACCCTTAATATGATGCAATGGATGCAATTTATTTCCATGATATAAATACTCTACAATTCATATGAGTTTAATTTTTAAATGTATCATTCTCTGTTCTTGATTAATGAAAATGACAGGTAGAGGTTACCCTAATTGATGTTTCCAGTTCCACACGCAAATTCAAAATAAGACCTCCAGAGAATGTAGATTTTGTAACCAGAGATAGTCTGCTTTACAGATTTTCCAGTCCTGAAGGTAGACCATCCTTGACTCTTCCAAATGATAGAGGTGAAGCAATAGCTATCGTAAGGAAGGCACTTGAAAGTTACCTGAAGACAGCCCATGAGGAAGGCATCCTTATGGGCGCGATAGGACTTGGTGGCAGCGGTGGAACTTCTTTGATCGCACCAGCATTGAGATCTCTTCCTCTTGGAGTTCCTAAGCTCATCGTGTCCACTGTTGCCAGTGGTCAAACCGAACCATATGTTGGAACATCTGATTTAACTTTAATTCCATCTATTGTTGACATCTGCGGGATCAATAATGTTAGTAGAGTTATATTATCAAATGCTGCAGCAGCTGCTGCTGGAATGGCTGTTGGAAGGTTGCTGGAATCTGATATTTCCAGTGAAGAAATTACTCAAAAACCAACAGTTGGCATAACCATGTTTGGTGTGACCACTCCTTGTGTTACTGCTGTTAAAGAAAGATTGACTAATGAAGGCTACGAGACACTTATATTTCATGCCACTGGCATCGGTGGTAAAGCTATGGAAGAGCTTGTTAGAGATGGCTTTATTCAGGTATCTTGAATTACTTTGTAAAAGTTTCAGATTTTTATCTGAAAATTTGATTAGAAAAAAAAATGAATTTTATGGTAAACTTTTCTTATTTGTTCTGGCATTGTATGCAAATAATTTAGCAGCTAAGTTCAAGGCTTATTGGTGTCTTGAAAACTGAACTAGGAATACCTATGCAGTGTGAGGTGAGTATTGAAGAATTATCCCTATAAACAATACAGAGGAAAAATCGGCATGTAGTATAAAGTGGGGTATACCACTTTGAATTGTACCAAAATAAATAAATGCGGGCTGGAGAGTGAATCATTAACTTTTCTGCCACCATGCAGTAGAATAGCCTGTTGAATCTATTCATAATTTCCATTCAGAGCAGATGTTTTTTCCATTTTGAGCAGTAGCTCACTGCAGTACTGTTTAATAGTACTAAGATTTGCAGCAGATTAGTTGCTTCTTTTATTTTGAATTTTTTTTACTCTGATTTGTTATTTTGACTGATAGGGTGTCCTGGATATCACAACAACAGAAGTTGCAGATTATATAGTTGGTGGTGTCATGGCTTGTGATAGTTCGCGCTTTGACGCAATAATAGAGAAACAGGTTCCTCTTGTTCTTAGTGTTGGAGCTTTGGACATGGTGAACTTTGGAGCTAGATCCACAGTGCCTAATGAATTTGATCAAAGAAAGATTCATAGCCATAATGAACAGGTTATGTCTTGCTTATCAAGAGTCTCTTGTTCCGTAATTATATTTGTTGTGAAACTAATTCAAGTTTTGTAGGATAAATTTTATGTAAGAATGTATTCATGATGTATTTTATTAAGAAATATAATTATGTCCATCTACTTCTATCTACTTATGTATTTTTATAGAAAAGCTTCTATCTTTACCTTTACTATCCGGAATCTCTGCATGGGAAAATACTGGAATTATTTCTATTCCAGCTGCCGTGACTGGTACACATGCTTTGTTTATTTCACAGTTCAATTACTAAGCCCATTCAGATCCCGCTGGAATTATTCCATCTAAATTAATAGAATGATCTTGACAAGATTAGAAAGTTATTTATTCTACTCACTGTTTTGTGCAGTCAAATTTTCAATTAGATTATATATTTGCAATGTGCATCGCATATTTAGAATTAGATTTGTATTTGGAGTTCTTTTCTTTTGCATTTGATCCTCTGTTACCTCTACACTTGATTAACTAAGAAAAGAACAACCTTTCATTCTCTTCGTTTTTCCTAATGGTAGAGAGCAAATGAGTTAATCCATATTTTTTTGCTAACCTGCTTGTGCCATGTTTTTATTGAGGAAATTCTGGAACCGGCCGGCTGCTCCTTGGGTGGGCCGGCCAGCTACCTTCCGATCATGGAAGATTGGATTGGGAGATAACTATGGAAAATCCTTTAATTAGTTTTATTTTTTTTCTATGTGGGAAATCCCTTATTCAGTTTTATTTTTTTTTTTATTATTTTTTTTTTTTTTTTTTTTCAGAATTTTTTCCTTTTCAAAATTAGATTAGATATATTTGGTAAGTTTCTAAATGAGGAGGGATTGGTTTGCCTATATATATGTACCATACATAGGACTAAGAATTTAAGCAATTTCCTTCCTAAGCAACCCTAGCTCTCCTTCCTTGCTCAGAGTTTCTCCCTGCAGCTGCCATTTCCTACAGGCCCTCCACCAGATCCTTTTCTTGCCACCGTCTCCTAGGGGTGTAAACGAGCCAAACATGAGCAAGCTTAGAGCCTGTTCGTGTTTGGCTTGTTTTGATTTCTTTTTTTACTCAAAATGAGCTTGTGTTCAAAATACTTCGTAAATAGCTAAGTTCGTGTTCGAATCAATTTAAATTCGAATTTGTTCGAATTAGCTTAGCTCGATTTTGAACTAAACTTAAGCTTGTATATTATAACCATTCCAACTCATTGGACTCAAAAATAAAGTTTTTATTTAAAATATTGTTTCATCCCCACGTCATAATTGAGTACGAATGAAAACTGAGTTTTTGATTATCATTTTTACATTTAAGTTAGATTCCTAATGGGAGTCCTTCTTCCTTTAGACAACGTGGGACTAAAAATTTGGGTGGCAGGAGATGCTCGTGGAACTCTTGAGGCAATTTACATACATAACACCTGATTTTATCTATTTACATATGTGATAAGAAAAGCCAAGCTGCAACGACAGGCAGCTTTTTGGGAGAAAAGATATTTACATACATTCAACCCATATGTACTATTTTGGGGACATTTACATACGTACCACCCAAATCCTATTTATTTACATATCTAAAACCTAAGTTTATTTATTTTATAATTACACCGCCCAAATTGTTTTTATAAATAATAAATTTTGGCATTTTTAATACATACAAAAATTAATATAAAAAACGTTTGTTCGTGTTCGACTTGTTTATAAATCGATCTAAAAAAATAGTTCGTGTTTGGCTCACTTGCTTAATGGACGAATCAAATACGAGTTATTAACAAGATGAACACGGGCAATGAGGTTTTTTGACAGCCCTTCCTAAAGGCGTTGGTTTCTTCTTCTGAATCCAGGCCTCCAATCTCAGTCAACTGGAAGTTTGATGGCAATTGGGAATTTTCTCTTCGGCGAATATCATCTTCTCTCTATGTCAGAAATCATTTTCAGCTTATCTGCAGTCTATCTCAAAAGCCCTCATCTTTTTTCTGGCACCAGAATTCTCTCTGCAGGACCTCCTTTGTTCAGCTCTAGCCGTTGGATTTTCTCTACAGCCAGAAGTAGCCATGTCGCACTTGCAGGCCCTCTGGAATTTTCTCTGCATCTTGAATTGCGATGTCAATTCGGATTAGTGGGTCAGGTTTGGGTTCGTCTTGAAAATGACTCGAGACGAATCGGGTCAACTCGAACCCTTCTCGGATAATAAACGGGTCAAAAGTCTCAAGTCGAACCCGACCTGACCCCGACCTGTTTAACCTGACCCCGACCTGTTTAACCTGTCAGCTCAATATTTTATTAAAAATTATACTTCTGATATTTAACATGTAACAAGAGGCGAATTAAAAAAAAAATGTTTTTATATGACAAGCAATGATATAAGAGTTAAAAGTATACATCAATTTTCCGTCTTAATTAGTGTCATTTTCGGGTTTTCCGGTTCAACCCGAGCCCAACCTAAAATTTTTACATGTTGAATTCTCTGACCCAAACCCAACTCGAAAATTATTTCGGTCAACCCTAACCCAGAGTTTTCGAGTCGAGTTCGCATTGTGTTCGCGTGTCAGGTCAATTTTTGACACTCCTAATCATGAAATCTCCTTGCTGCAGGCCCTCCTCCTTCGGCAAAATCCTCTTGCAGCAGCAACAGCCTTCAACTCCATTCCTCCTACAATAGAAACCGTCAGTTCCTTTCCATAACAAGCAATAACCCTAAAAAAGTATAGGTTGGATGTCCAAGTATGGGATGAAGATGCCGAGTTCAGCTCCGGAGGCTAATTCTGAATCAGAGACCACAAATTCTGTTCAGATGACTCCTGAACTCGAACATTACACAGATCACAAATTCAATGGCCATATCTTCTTTCATTGGTCTCAATTTGTGTTATATGCATTTGCGGTAAAGAGAAAGATGATCATCTCATGGGAGAGGATACAGTTACTGAGATTACTGACCCCAACTACCTCACGTGGAGGAATCAAGACTATATGATTTTTTCTTGGCTAGTCAACTCAATGACCACTTTTTTTCTCAGCAAAACTATAAAAAACAAATTAATTATCAAAATGGTGATTATTTTCTATGATTAATTATAAAGTCTATCAGAATGTATATTCGTGGAAGGGAGATTAATTATCTAGAAGGGAAGAAGGCTCCAATAGGGGAAGATTCAGTATATGAAACCTGCTATGCTGAAACCTCCATGGTAGAAGACATCAGCTCCGATTATGTCTCATTTTATGGCCAGCGAACACTAGGATAATGTAACCTAGATTCACTTAAATTTGGCAAATCAATCCCAAATATATGAGTTGAAAATTGAAGTGGGTGAATTGTCTTTGGGAGATAACATTGCCAAATTCTTCACTTCCGTGAAGGTACTATGTTAAGAATAGGATCAATTCAACAGCTAAGAATGGAAATCAATCGAGGATTACAATCATAAGAAGATGGCAGACAATCATCACATCTACAAATTCTTGGTAAGACTAAATATTGATTTGAATAAGTACGACAACAACAACAACAACAAAAAGCCTTTATCCCATTAAGTGGGTTCGGCTCATGAATCCTTTCTCTCTATTGCATCATATTTAGTGTCATTTTTTCATTTAAGTCTAATAGATTAAGATCATTTTTTATACAATATATCCAAATATTTTTTGGTCTACCTCTGCCTTTTTCAACATCAGTCGAAGCTAAAACATCTCCTCTAACCGGATCATCAGATGGTTAATGTTTAATGCGACCAAACCATCTAATACGGCTCTCTAATCTTGTCCGTCACTGAAGCTACACCAACCCTCACGGATATATTCATTTCACATTTTGTCTCTAAGTGTCAAGCCACTCATCCACCTAAGTATTCTCATCTTAGTAACACAACTTTGTTTTATGCTTCTCTTTTAAAGGCCAAAATTTTGCTCCATAGAACATTGCAGGTTTCACCACCATCTTAGAAAATTTTCCTTTCAGTTTAAGCAGTATTTTTTATCACACGATAGGCCTGAAGCATCCCTCCACTTCAACCAACCAACTTGAATGCTAGTAATAACATTCCCATCTATATAACCATCACTTTGAACCATAGACCCGAGATATCTAAAACATCCACACCTTTTAATGATTTGATCACCCATAGTTATAACTCTATTATATTGATTTGAAGAAGTAGAGGAAGAATTGGTCACGATCCTCTACGCCTCTATGAGTGAGGTATTTGTCATGTAAGAAGAAAAGAGTCACTTGAATGTTATGCTTAGAAAAAAAAATTTTTGCCTATGGAAGATTTTGTGCTAACTATATTAGATGCTATTGCTAAAAAGCTTTTAAACCACAATAAAATGAAAAATCACGAGTGTGGTGCAACCACTGTAATCAATTACGTACACTAGAAAATTTCTTGAGGATTCATGGGAAACTGATCAATTGAAAGAGCAAGACAAATGACCAACCAATTCTTGCCTCCTATGCAAACGAAGCATCAACAATCTGTTACACCAACGCTTACAGGTAATTTAGTCTTTTATTATTTGTAATTGATTGCAGGACTCGAGTATTCAATTAAATTGCTCTGATGATCTTTTTATTGTGCAAACACACAATTTTATAGTTGTAGCAGCACAACTGGTTAGTACACGCCTCTTAGATATAAGAGATACTGCACCTTCTGTCAATCAAAAAGAAAGGAAATTAGGCAGTCAAATTAAGAGTTTTCTATAATTTGATGTTTCTTTATTTCCAACATCTTTATTCTGATTTATTTCTCTTTTAGCTGACTATTTAGATTAAGAATATGTATTATTAAGTTACCTAAAATATATTATATGCATTTTATTTTGTACCTAAAATAGATTGTAAGATTGTTATTTAATTGAATGAAAGCAAAGGGAAAAGGGAATCGAGCATATTCAGTATTCAACCTATTTTTCTCAAAACTCTGACATGGTATTAGAGCCAGATTTTTTCCCTAACCACGCATAATTGTTGGAGGACCTTCGAGATTCCCTTCCCGCTTGCCTTCTTGCAGGATGGGAAGGGAGGATGCCTTGTTTCTCGTTCGTTCGTCTGCTCGTCGCCTCATGATTTCTTCAGATCTCCTTCGCTAGCCATCATTGCTTCTTCCACTTCTGCTTCGTCGGCTTCTTCGTGTAAATGAGACGACTGGAAGAGTTAGGTACATTGATGATGTTACCATCAAAATCCGTCATCTTGGCGGTGTTCTTCGTGTAATTTTGTCCGCCAAGTTCGATACGGCGCTCCCAGTGGACATGCTCGCAAAGAAGTTTGTTGATCTCATCATTGAGATCACGGAGGAGATGCTCATCGAGGCCCTCGGTTTGGATCTCAGCCGCATTGACACCAATCTCTCGGAGAAGTTCATTGCACCATCAGTCGTCATCGGCGAGATCGCGACACTCCGAGGTGAGGTATGGATGACACTCTTTGGGCTTGCGCTTCTCCTTGTTCTTCATCGCAATGAAGCGATTGAGCATCGACTGTGCCTTCTCTCTGCTTCCTCGCCCCTATCACTTCGTTCCGGTCTGTTTCATCCTCCTGCGTTGGCTTCGGCTGCTTTGTCCCGGTCTACTTTGTCCCAGTTGCTTTGGCACTCTTGAGTTTTGGCACCTCTTGATCTTTGGCACTCTCAGGCTTCGGCCTCTTGGGCTTCGACACTCTCAGGCTTCGGCCTTTCCAGCTTCGGCATTTTTTAGGCTTCAACATTTTGGGCTTCGGCACTTTTGGGCTTCGGTGCTTCGACCCTCTTAGGCTTCAGCACTCTTGGGCTTCGGCCTTTCGGGCTTCGACATTTTCAGGCTTCGACATTTTTGGGCTTCGACACTTTTGGGCTTCAGCATTTTGAGGCTTCGGCACTCTTGGGTTTCGGCATTTTCAGGCTTCAACACTCACGACTTGAGGATTTTTTGTCCCAGTAGTGTTATCAGTTTCTTATTAGCAAATTGATGTTTTCTGATCAGTCAACATCAATTTGAGGGGGGATGTCAATAAGAAAGAACGGAAATTAGGCAGTCAGAATATTCCTTATTTCCAATATCTTTATTCTTATATATTTTCCTTTTAGCTGAATATTTAGATTAGAAATATGTATTATTAAGTTACCTAAAATAGATTATATGCACTTTATTTTGTACCTAAAATAGATTGTAAGATTGTTATTTAATGGAATGAAAGCAAAGGGAAAAGGGAATCGAGCCTATTCATTATTCAGCCTATTTTTCTCAAAACTCTGGCACCTTCTTCCTCTTTTAACCATCTAATCAGAATATGGATTGACTTCATAAGCTCTAAATTTTCTTTCCTCTCTATTATTTATTTCAGTTTCTTCTGTTTCACAAGACCCCTGTTTTATGTCTAAACTTGTGCCGTGCATTTGAAATTTAATACGGTTGAAATACAATGAGAAACTCTTTCTAATGAATTCTAACATGTGAAAATGAGGGCAATATCCCTAACTAATATGCATCTTTTTGGCCACGTACCAAACAATTACCTAACACGAATAGAATTGAAAAGGGAGGTACATAGCATTGCTGCAATTGAAGTTACCTTTCTTAATCCGAAAACCCACTTTAAAGATTAGTAGCAGTTTACATAGCACATCAATGTTTTTACGAAATAAAAGTTTTACACTGTATACCCCTCATGAATAAAAAATTACTAATCCTTTCAATAACTTGGCAAGGAATTCAAATGACTCTGTTATCCCATTTACTCACTAGAAATTTATGATTTAAGTTTCACAATTTCGGAATGAGTATATAACAGTGTTCATATTATTGCAGGTTTCACTTGTGCGAACTACAGTAGATGAAAACAGGAAATTTGCCAAGTTTATAGCTGAGAAATTGAATCAGTGCACCTCCAAAGTTTGTGTTTGCCTTCCAGAGAAAGGTGTCTCTGCTCTAGATGCACTAGGGAATCATTTTTATGACCCTGAAGCAACTTATGCTCTTTTAAATGATTTAGATAGACTTATCGACAAAAACAAAAATCGACAGGTACAAGGTTTTATTTACAGCTTTCTCAGAATCCATCCATTGAATATCCTATCAAGCAACTTCTGCTTATGTACTTCAACCCGACTATCACCTTTGTAGGTGAAAATACTTCCATACCATATCAATGACCCCAAATTTGCAGATGCCTTGGTTGACTCGTTCTTGGAGATGGATGTCAAGTTTTCCCCCAGCGCAGCTTCTCAACAAGGAGAGGTTTCAGAACTAACTCATAAGAAAAATAAAAAAATGAAAGAAAATAAGGATGAAAGCAGTCTAGCAGAGGTTGATCTAAACAACTTGACTCTTTTACAAAACCCGGTTGAGTTTCCTGATGCAAGACCAGGTTTTGATCTACTCTGACACATAAGGTTTTCATTGCTTGCTTTAACTCCATACAAATCTATTATCTAAATGTATTAACTTTCTTCTTTATTATTTTGCACTAACAAATTAGGTTCATTCGTTATCATCAGCTGCCTTATCTTAATAATTTGACGCTTTTATGAATCCTAATTCCTTATTCATTTATATTGAGTGTTGCATGTCATTTTAAACTTATTTCGTGTTATTTTTTTCCACAACCTCAATCCTTGTTACCTTTAGTTTTGCTAATGCTTCATTTATGCTTTGTTGTGCATGCCTAAACCATTTAAATCTATTTTTTATCATCTTATCTTTAAATGTTACTCCCACTACGCTACATAATTATTACACGGTCATCCTTTCTAGTTTTAGTAATATTAATGTTAAGACTCTTATTTTTGCTATATAACCAAGTTGTATATCATTGACCTGTTTTCTGTCCAACATGCCTTTTATTGGCGCCTTTACTGTCCAACATGCCTTTACTGTCCAATATAGTTGTCTTCTTATAAATTTAGGTTTAAATCTCCATAATTTTTAAATAGTACTCACTCGGCACTTTTTAGTGTAACAATTTAGTCTCAACTTCAAGTTATATCTTTATCCTCTTCTTCATTCTTTTCAATAATAAATTTAAAATTAATCTTATCACCTTACTTATAATCATCTTGATTGATAGCTATTAAAATCACACTAACAAAAATTGCACATTAGATGCTTAGTTAACTTATAATAATCTTGTTTGGTAATTATTAAAATCACACTACAAAAATTACACATTGGGCACGCTTAGATTTTTTTTTTTTTCCTTCCTTTTTGTGACTAATTCTATGCTGCTTATCTTTCATATATTTTCTTCTTTTTTCATTATTATAATGTTCCACTTATTTTAGAAGAGGTCTCACTATATATAACTATATTATACAAAAAATGTAGACTGCTACATTTTGATTATCCTTCATAAGAACCTATTTTGCCAATACACAATGAATATAATGGTGTAATTCTCTACAGCGTTTTTGTAAACTCTCGGTCCCTCTAGTGCTGCTCAAATATTAGTCAAAGCTCAATAGTGTGTTTCTTTCATTAGCACAATTTTTTTATTTATGCGCAAACATCAAATCAGTTTTTTGTGATACTCAATTAGTTGCTTTCTCAAATTCATTAAAAAAAATTATGAAGATCCTTTTCTTACTCTTTATTAATTACTTTTCTTGGCACAAGAGTCACTTTTGGTATAAATTTTAAATTGATTCATGGCATAAACTTGAGGTTAATTCTTTAATAGTGATTTAATTTGTTGATGCCAATGTTTTAGGACTTCTCCCATAATTTTATTGTAATACATAAGCTTAATTTCCTTGTAATTATCGCGATCATGATCATTTCCATTATTCATTAACATTGGTTCCAAATGCTTCATCTTCAATCATTTTACATGCAAAATTCCATCAATTTTTTTCTTAAGCATCACCTGTAATTCTCCCAATATCGGTGGAGTATATTAGTGGATATTTTAGCTATGTAAAGCTTTACTTCTATGAATCTTCTTCAATGCCAACTTCACTTTTTTTGAATTAATTCATTGTATATTATTTGTTTATTTGTAAGTACTTCTTTCTAAGTACTCTCATTTAATAATGTTCAATGCAGCATGTTCACCTCCCTTGATGTTTTCATCTTTAACTACGTCCTTACTGTCTTTAATTTACTTTTATACATCTTCAAGGCTAACTCTATTTTATATAGGGCCATTTACTTACATACCGCCCAATTCCTATGTATTTACATATCTAACACCTAAACTTTACTTTTTACATTTATACCACCCAAATGTTTCATATTGCCTTTAAAATAAATAAATAAATAAATAAATAAAAATGTTTCGTATTAATACCACCATTTCAACTTTTAAAATGTAAAAGACACTTTTTTATGCATAGATAAGGTGGGATGGATGTATATAAAAATTAAAGTTGAGGTGTTAGATATGCAATACATAAGAACTGAGTGGTATGTATGCAAATCTTCCTTTTATTTATTGTAGAACTCATAAGCTAAATTCTCGTAAAGTTTATATCTTGAGGACTTGGCATCCACAACTTTAGGATTTGCTGTTTATCTTTCTTTTTCCTCCCCTTTTCTCTCTCTTCTTTTCGAAGACCCCATGTTTCTTTTAATTTTTATCTCCACTTCTCCTAAAATTTTTGTGCACCTCAAACAGCTCATCGGTGGTGTCTGTTACCTCGCCTTCATGTATCTCTATGTTATCCTGTTTCACTTTATCCAAATTGTAATGAAGGTCAATAATACAGAAAGGAACAGATAAATTAACAAATTTGGTTCTTCACGGACTCTCTTAAACTCCCTTCCTGGCCTCTTTTATTATTTGGTTCATGGATATTCTTACAGCATTTTAATAAAGTTTCGGTCGGTGATTATAAACTAGCATTAATGAACATTTTATGTCTTCAGTCTATGATTTTTGGAGAAGTGTCATACAATTCTTGTTATGAAATTCTCTGCATTGTTTGCTTATCATTCTGCAGAAACTTTGAGGAAGACCCATGCTATATTAGAACAACTGAAACAACAGATAAATCAAAGTGTGCCCATTATTGGCGCCGGAGCTGGAACGGGCATATCTGCAAAATTTGAAGAAGCTGGAGGTGTGGATCTGATAGTGGTATACAACTCCGGGCGATTCCGCATGGCCGGAAGAGGTTCTTTGGCAGGGCTATTACCTTTCGCCGATGCAAATGCTGTTGTACTTGTACTCGACATGGCTAATGAAGTGTTGCCTGTGAGTTAATCTAACTACTCAGACTATCAATGGAAGAAATATTTTATTTAATTTTGCTAAATTACATAATAAGGAATGATAAAAGGAAGAAACTTTCGGCATTGTTAAACTATTCCATAGATGTGTAATTTGGTTTTAAAAGACGAGAAACACCAACTCAGGAAATCTTTATCTAATTTTTTATTAGGATAAATTTTAGTGGCATTTATATGCATACCAGACAATACTTATGTATTTACATATCTAATAGTTAAACATGCATATTTACATGAACACTAAAATCTTTAACATCAAATTAAAAATATCACCATCACCATCTTCGTAGAAGTAAATTACACATTTTTATTTATGACACCAAATTGTTTTAAGTCTAAATATCAAATTTTGGGTGTTTGATATGTAAATAAATAAGAATTGTGTGGTATGTGTGTAAATCTCCCTAAATTTTAAATGGAAGTTTTACATACATACCACTTAATTCTTATGTATATACATATCTAGCACCTAAAATTTCATTTTTACATGCATGCCGCATTTTCAATGCATGAAAAGTTATAATTCACTTTAAAAAAGTTGAAAAATTGGTTTTTTCTTTTTTTTTAGGTGAGATGAACTTTTTGGTGGTATAAATGTAAAGACAAAAGTTTAATTGCTAATCAAAGTAAATTCAATGGTTTTGTGATCCACCCTAAACCGAAATATTTTCTTTTAAAAGAAAGAACCGAATTAACTTTTCTTTCTCTACAAATCCCCCACCCCCTCCATAGGTTGTAAAGAGAGTACCAGTTCTCGCTGGGGTGTGTGCCACCGATCCGTTTCGTCGAATGGACAATTTCCTAAAGCAGCTAGAAGCGACTGGATTCGCTGGGGTTCAGAATTTTCCAACCGTTGGACTATTCGATGGCAACTTCCGCCAAAATCTGGAAGAGACAGGGATGGGCTATGGGTAGGTGCCTCCACTATCTTCTTTTCTTTATTATTTTCTTCACATCAGGTATATATTATTTTGGGGCATTTACATACATACCATCCTATTCCTCTACATTTACGCATAATAACTCCTAAACTTTATTTTTTACATTTATATACCACTCAAAATTTTCATTATCACATAAAAAATACCAGCATTCTAACTTTTAAAAGTGATCTACACCTTCTCATGCATATGAAGAGTGGCATTATAAAAATTAAAGTTTAGCTGTTGGATATGTAAAGACATAGAAATTGAGTGGTATGTATGTAAATCTTTCTATTATTACTTCAAATATGCGACTCACAATAAGATGGCCATTCTTATTTTTCTGCTCTAGATTGGAGACTGAGATGATCAACAAAGCTCATAGAATAGGCCTCTTAACAACTCCATATGCTTTCAATGAAGATGAAGCCTCTCGGATGGCTAAGGCTGGTGCGAATATTATTGTGGCACACATGGGCCTTACCACTGCTGGATCAATTGGTGCACAGACTGCTCTTACATTGGAGGAAAGTGTACACCGCGTTCAAGCTATTGCAGATGCTGCAGTTGCTGTAAATCCTGATATTATCACCCTTTGCCATGGAGGTAAACTTCTAATTATGCACCTCCCATTGTTTTTAAGTTTCAACATTGAGGGGCATTTATATACATGCCACCCAATTTCTTTGTATTTACTATCTAACACCTAAATTTTTCTTTATTACATTTATACCACACAAAGTTTTCATATAACATAATAAACTTGTTTTTAAAAGTGAAATACAACCTTTCATTCATGAGTGGTATGAATTTAATAATTGAAGTATAGGTCTTAGATATGTAAATACATATGATTTGAGTGGTATTTAAGTAAATCTTCCTTTATTTTTATGAAGTATTTTTACAGAGACTAATGGGATTGTAGTAAAATAAGAGACGTTTAAGGTTAAGGGGGTGAAAAGTGAGAAATAATTATATTTTGGTTACAGGCCCTATATCTGGTCCACGGGAAGCAGAATATATACTAAAGAGCACGAAGGGAGTCCATGGATTTTATGGGGCATCTAGCATGGAGAGACTGCCCGTAGAACATGCCATCACAGAGACGGTGAAAGAGTACAAATCCATCTCCATAAAGAGGGACTGATCCACATTCACCTGAACCGGGCCATTCCTTCTTCTCCTTTCACTGCCCGTTAAAATTTACCCATTTGTTGGTGAAGCTGGAATTATGCAAATAATGATTTCCAACTATTTTGTTTTATCTTTAATTCTAAATGAATTTTTGTATTTTGTTCGTGCCTTTAAAATTATTTTATTGTGACTATCATTACCTCTCTTTTTTTCCTTGTGAGAAGGCTCCACACGGCCTTTTCCATCTCTATCTTCGGATGACATAACCAACGAAGGAATCAATATCTTTCTTCTCCAATGGGTTAGGGTTTAGGGTTTAGGGTATGAACAAGATCTATGCCCATTATTGAAATAATTAACAAAGTCTCACAGGAATTAAATTCAGAAAAATAAACTGCCTCTCTCTTTCATGATCCCCTATTAATTGATTCCACGACGAATATAGGAGAGGCAGGCGAAATTCTCTTAATTTTTAAAATCCCACAACAAAGCAACATAACAAGGCAGCATGAAACTCGCTGGCAGCCAAACTATAAATAAAGAAAAAACAAAAGTGCATTCATCATAATAATCTACTTATGAAATGCTGATGAAGCACACGGTGAAGCATTGTTAATATTCTCTGCTTCCCCTGAAGGATAACTAACTCTGCTGAATACCCTCGTGCATTCTGCGTCAAATATTTTAAAATAATTTTAGGGTTTAGTAATATATAAATAAATAAATGAAATTCAATAATGTCAACAAAGAAAGAAGAGAAAGAGGTTAAATTTCTAATACCGTTTTAATGAGAGGGCTCTACACAGCCATTTCCATCTCTATCTTCTGATGAGGATCGTAACCAACAAGAGTGAAATCAGATGCAGTGAAGGAATCAATATCCTTCTTCTCAGGATTTATCTTCAGAATCTGAGTTTGTATTTCAAATCCCATTAAATATGTCAGTAAATTAACAACAACAACAACAAGCCTTTATCCCACCAAGTAGGGGTAGGCTACATGAATCCTCATTCTCCATTACGTCTTATTGTGTCATATTTTGTCTTATTTCATTCTCCATTACGTCTTATTGTGTCATATTTTCATTTAATTCTAATAGATTATGATCATTTTTTATACAATTAGCCCAAGTCTTTTTAGGTCTACCTCTACCTTCCTTGACACAAATCAAATATAAAACATCTATTCTCCTAACAGGATCAGTAGATGGTCGTCGTTTAATGTAACCAAACCATCTAAGACGACTCTCTAATCTTGTCCGCCACTAGAGCTACACCAACCTTATCACAGATATATTCATTTCGCATTTTGTCTCTAAGTGTCAAGTCATTCATCCACTTAAGCATTCTCATCTCAGCAACACAACTTTCTTTTATGTTTCTCTTTTAAATGTCAACATTTTGCGTCATAAAGCATTGCAAGTCTCACCATCATCTTGTAAAATTTTCCTTTCAGTTTGAGCGGTACCTCTCTATCACACAATAGGCCTGCTGCAGGCCTGCTAGGCCTGCTGCATTCCTCCACTTCAACCAACCAACTTGAATTCTATTAATAACATCCCCATTTATATCACCATCACTTTGAACTATACACCCGAGATATCTAAAACGATCATACCTTTTAATGATTTGATCACCCATAATTATCAATTATTTGATCACCCATAATTACAACTCTGCCACTAGAGTTACTACTACAAAAATTACTCAAATGAAGGTCTTTAGACTCCAATGTAGACCTCAATAATTCAACTTACTATTTCTCGTCTAATCCACAAGAAGGATATCATCAGCGAAAAGCAACCACCTATAAATGTCCGTAAGAGGTTCCATAACTGAAGTGAAAAGATATGGGCTTAAAGCAAATCTCTGATATAATCAAACTGAAATAGGAAAAAAGTTGGTGTGACTCATACCTGAGTACCAAAGTTTAAAACTTAAGCTATCAATCTCCTTAGTCTTTTCTTCAACCCATTTAGTTTTTTGAATATAAAAGATATTTATCTTCATATGAACATAATATCAACTAATTTCATTGATTTAACTGTGAGAGTACCTACTTCAGTAAATTAAACTTCAATTATATATATATATATATATATATA